AAAGGCTGCATAGCTGAGTGATGCTCCTTCTCTCTGGTGGCCTTGCTGAGATCTTTGCCAGGTGGTTCTGCTGGGAGCCAGGACCAACTCCCTGTTGGATCAGCTTTCAAGATTAGGTCCTGGTGCTTGTAACCTGAATTAGATCTCCACCAGTGACACATCTGTGTCCATTAGGGCCAACCATGTTCTTGGGGACATCAGGTCCAGTACTACCAGCTGGGCCAGGGAGGGGATTGTCCTGCTCTGCTCTGCAATAGAACAGCCTCCTCTTGAGTTCTGGGGATAGTTTGGGGCAATGTAAGAAAGATATTAAGCTAATAATCTGCCTTGATTAGCCTGGTGTATGAACATAATAGAAGGGTTGCCTCCGAACGAAGGAGAACTTGGGGGCCAAGGCATGAGCACACGACAACTTTAATGAGTCTGAGGAAGGAAAGGAGGTGGCTCACAGAGAGCACCAGGGGCAGGCACTAAGATGCAATGGAGGTCCTGTGGGGTGTCCACCTGCCTGCCATGCAGATGTGGAGAGAGCAAAATATCCCCACTAGACTTTCCTGGGGAGACCCAGAGAGCTGGAGGTAAGAAAGAGGAGAGGTGAAGAAGGAAACAATGACTGGTAGCTCTGTCATGTGCCCTCACATGGCTGTCCTTGGGTGTGAGGGCAAGAAAACAAGAGCAGTGTCCATTTCCTGCCAACATTGCCTCAAACCACCCACTCAGAAATGACCCAAGAGAACATCACCTGCCCGCAGGGGATGCCCAAAGCCCTCGACCTGAGACTCCAGCCTCAAAAATCCTTGAGCCTGTCACCCCAGCACTTATGGAAGGAGATCTTCATATAGGAGAGCACGTGGCAGAAACCAGCAAATGAAAATGTAGCAATGCAGGATACTAGGACACAGGCCCTACCATTAMCTKGGATAGTTCATATTTTAGGTGAGCTGGTCAGAAAGTTATTATTTCCACCAACAAGCCTCTGGGCCTGAGGCAGTGCWGGACWGCTATAAAAGGCAGCCCAAGTCTCTGCTCTCTCAACCACTTCTCTTGCCTCCTTCTCCTCAGGAATCAGGTGAGTGGGAAGCCTCTTCTTCGTCCTCCTCATCCTCATTCTGCTGCTTCAAGAGCAGCTCTTTCCTTTGTCTAGACCTCAGCTGAAAGGGGCATTTGAAGCCCAGGGCTGGGAGCTCTTTGTGCTGGGAGAGGGCAGAGGAGAGAAGGTCTTGTGCAGAGAGAGACTGGGACTTGGCTCAGGTGGCTGCAGGGCTCTGAACTGGGCACTGCAGTGTGGGCCAGGAGGTGCCTTGGCTGCAGGGTGGTTGGGGGCWGTGCTGCTTCTCAYGSGTCCYYWCTTTGTGTTTGTCCCTGTCCTCTGTGCCAGGTGCACCTGTGACCCCGAGCCATGTCCTGCTGCCCACCCTCCTGCAACCCTTGCTGCCAGCCCTGCGGCCCCTGCCCGCTGGCCAACAGCTGCAATGAGTGCTGTGTCCGCCAGTGCCAGAGCTCCACTGTGGCCATTGAGCCGCCTGCTGTGCTGGTGACCCTGCCTGGCCCCATCCTCAGCTCCTTCCCTCAGAACACCGTGGTGGGATCTTCTACCTCTGCTGCYGTTGGCARCATMCTCAGCTGTGGYGGAGTGCCCATCAGCTCTGGGGGCTTTGACCTCTCCTGCATCACCAACTGCTATGGTGGCAGCAGGTGCCGTCCCTGCTAAATCTGCTAGCGACATCCTTGGGCAAGGTTCTCCAAGACACCTGAACCTGGTTCCGGGTAGAGACTGAGCTTTGGGACATTGTATTTAGTGTCTGAGCTATTGTTCCCTTCTTCTACTCTTCCAATTCTTTATTTGCCATCCATGTCTCCCCAGGCCAGTCTAGTGGGGACATGTTGCCCTCCCTCCCTCTTTCTGATGGGCAGATTGACACTCTGCAGGAGCCCCACTGCATTTTAGTTGCTGCTTCTGGTCCTGTCCATGAGCCACCGCTTTTTCTACCTTACATTCATTAAAGCTGTGCATCCAAACATTGGCCTCTGAGTCCTCCTTCTTTCTGTGGCAGTCCTTCCAGTCTGCTCGGGGTAAAAGTTGGAGGGGCAGGGGGTGGGAATCGGTACTGGATTTTCCTTTGTGCCTTTTCCTTTTATCACTGATAAAGAACATTCCTGGTTACTCCACAGTCAATGGCAAACTGGGAAACGATGGCTCCAAAGGGTGGCAGGGATGGGGGAGGGAAACAGCATCATCTGGGAGTAACCCTGAGCCTCATCCTTTCCTTCTCCTCCCCTGCATTACCCGGTCCAGGGACCATGAGCTGTACATGTAGTCAAAGGCAGATGATTTAGGAACATCACAGAGGTCTGAGTGACTGTGGGTCCCACCCTCAAGGCGCAGAATAAACACTTGGTTCATTAATGCTCACAGTCAAAAGGAATGGCAGAAGTCAGGGGTTCTGGGAACGATCAGAAAGTGTTGATAGTAAATTACACACTTGGTGTGGAATTTACTATGTTGTAGAAGTCCCAGACCTCCTGTATGAGCAAATGTCAGTGGCTGTTGGATTAAGGGGCTTGGTGAATGGGATGAGAAAATTTAAAGGAGAAAAGATGAATTAATGAGGGAAAGAGAGATAGAAAGGGGGAAAGAGAAGGAAAAGGAAGGTAAAGTGACCACTAGAGAAAAAACAAAGTCCTGGTACCAGCATAAAACCGGTTGATGGGATGTCAGTCCTGGTTTCAGCATCCCCCCAGCTGTGACAGTCCAGTCCATTTGTGTGCAAGGGCTTTAGGACAATGCCCAGACTGAGGGGGCATGTTTTTATGGGTAGGTTTCCCTGTCCCAAAGACAGGTTTCACTTTAAATGAGTTCTTACGCAGCCTGCTTTTCAGACCTTTTTGGAAATGAGTCGGAGGCTTCGGGTGTCTTTGGTGGCCTTGATCCACCCCTACAGTCTATGACCACTTTGTGGCCTCACTCCTGTCCTTGTGCTGTGCTTTCTCCAGGGACTACAACAAGGNCATCTAAGCCTGGGCCTCTGAGTCATCCACTCTCCTGCAAATCTTCCATATTGCTTAGGGAAAAAGGTGGAGGAAGCAGAGGCTTTGACTCCTTTGAAGCTAACAGAGTCATCCATGGCTAGGCAACAGCCTAAGGCCCTGATGGAGACCATGGCTCCAAAGTTCGCCTACAGTTGTGAAGGGAAATGACAACACCTCAGACAGCCCACAACCTCACCTCTTCCTTCTCCTCTCCCTCATTACCTGCTCTGCAGTCCATGCCCTGCACACAGGTGCACAGGGGGATGAAATGCACTCCCTCAGAACAGGCAGGACCCAGCTGCTATCCAGACATGCAGGGCAGAGGTGATTCACAAGTTTGCTATCAGCCATTCTCTGGCTAAAGCTGTGCTAAATGACTTTCAGCTGAATTTCTGCCAATATCTTATGGCTTTGTTATAAATTTGTAATATTTCTCGTGTGTATGAATGTCTGTAATCTGTCCATCGCATTCTTCCTGGGTGGGGCCTTGGATCAAATCAGTGCCCATTCTGCTGGGTCAACCTTTGGTCAACCTTTGGTTAACAGCTCGTGCCCACTTTGTCACCTCATTCCTGTGTTTGCATTGTACTGTGCTGTGCTTGTCTCCAGGATATAGAACAAGAATGTTTGTCCCAAAAATGGGCTGCCTCCATCTCTACAACCCCTTCTCCAGCCACAGCCTGTTTTTTCTCTCTGTGACTTCTTACCAACAGTCTTTGGTTGGCTCCATGCCTATGTGGCGAGCAGTGTTTGAGAGACCATTTGGGCTTCTGCACCACATTAAATGGGAGAAAGAAAGACAGATCACCAGCCCTGGCAGCAGCATTGATTCAGCTGGTGGAGTAGGCAGTCAGAACAAGGACATTTGTCTCAGGAAAGTGCTGCCCTACCTCCACATGGCCCCTGCTGCAGCCATATCCTGTTCTCACAGAGCCTTCTTACCAAGAACCCTCAGGTGGCTCTACAACCCTCCAGATATGGATTTGAGACATACACATGAGTCCCTCATTGCCTTAGGTTACTTAGAAGGTGTAACCAAAAAAAATCTGTATTCTATCAGCATCTCCATAAGTTGTTAAACCAGGTAGGGCAGTGCTCTTTATCTTCAGTATGATTTAGCCCTCATAACACCATCTGGGGACAATCTCTGCAAATGGGCCACCAAGATCTCTGGGAATGGCTTCTAATAGACCATCATCCGATAGCGACATGCCCTACCCAGAGTGGAGGAACGGGACATCCCTACTGGCATATAAACTGAGGCACTGGGACACTCGGACACCACTTCCACTGGATTCCAGAGGAGAGGAGCTCTAGAACTCCTGCTAGACCACCAGAGACAGACTCAACCTGTCCTCACGATCACCACTTTGAGAACACCACATCCATCCCTCCAACAGGACTGCAATCACCATTTAAACGTTGAACCTTTAGCACTTTGAGAAGACCATAACCATCACTCAAACGGGACTGCAGCTACAAGCCTGTTCAATAGGTTATCTGGTGGAATTCTGACTTTCTCAGGTTAAGCTGTTGCTTCTTTATTATTGCCTTTATTTTATTTTTTTCTATTAAAGTGTTGTTTTGATTTAGAATCTCTCACAATGTATTTGTGTGGGGGTAATTCCTCAGCTGGTTTGCTTTCAAACTAGCAAACTCATCTTCTACAATTCTAGACCAGCACCCAGTGACAGAGATGGTGTCTCTGCCATGAACTGCAGGCAGGAAGAGCATGGGGGGAGCCCCACAAGGTGCATGGGGTGCTGTGTCTCTGAGCTGTTGTTTTGAGCGCAGCTGTGCCTTCAGGATTTCCTCAAGATGCTGTGAGGAAAAGCAGGCTGTGGCTGGAGAAGGGGCCATAGAGAGATCGGCAGCTTGGTTCTGGGACAAACATCCTTGTTGTAGTCCCTGGAGAAAGCACAGCTCAAGGACAGGAGTGAGGCCACAAAGTGGTCATAGACTGTAGGGGTGGATCAGGGCCATCAAAGACCCCCGAAGCCTCCGACACATTTCCAAAATGGTCTGAAAAAACAGACTGCATGAGAACTCATTTAAATTGACACCTGTCTTTGGGACAGAGAAACCTACCCACAGAAACATACCCCCTCAGTCTGGGCATTGTCCTCAAGACCTTGGACATCCAATGGACTGGACTGTCACAGCAGGGTGGATGCTGAAACCAGGACTGACATCCCATCAACCGGTTTTATGCTGGTACCAGGACTTTGTTTTTNGACACAGCTGGGCTCGAAAAAACAGCTCAGACACACAGCACCCCATGGACCTTGTGGGGCTCCCCCCACGCTCTTCCTGCCTGCAGTTCATGGCAGAGACACCATCTCTGTCACTGGGTGCTGGTCTAGAATTGTAGAAGATGAGTTTGCTAGTTTGAAAGCAAACCAGCGGAGGAATTACCCCCCCACACAAATACATTGTGAGAGATTCGAAATCAAAACTACAGTTTAATAGCAAAAAATAAAATAAAGGCAATAATAAAGAAGCAACAGATTAACCTGACAAAGTCAGAATTCCACCAGATACCCTGTTGAACAGGCTTGTAGCTGCAGTCCCGTTTGAGTGATGGTTAAGGTCTACTCAAAGTGGTGAAGATTTAATGTTAAAATGGTGATTGCAGTCCTGTTGGAGGGATGGATGGGGTGTTCTCAAAGTGGTGATCCTGAGGACAGGTTGAGTCTGTCTCTGGTGGTCGAGTGGGGGTTCTAGAGCTCCTCTCCTCTGGAATCCAGTGGAAGTGGTGTCCGAGTGTCCCAGTGCCTCAGTTTATATGCCGGTAGGGATGTCCCGTTCCTCCTCTCTGGGTAGTGCATGTTCCTATCGGATGATGGTCTATTAGGAGTCATTCCCAGAGATCTTGGTGGCCCATTAGCAGAGATTATCCCAAGATGGTGTTATCAGGGCTGAGTCACACTGAAGATAAAGAGCACTGCCCTACCTGGTTTAACAGCTTATGGAGATGCTGATAGAATACAGATTTTTTTGGTTACACCTTGTATGTAACCTAAAGCAATGAGGGACCCATGTGTATGTCTCAAATCCATATCTGGATGGTTGTAGAGCCACCTGAGGGTTCTTGGTAAGAAGGCTCTGTGAGAACAGGATGTGGCTGGAGCAGGGGCCATGTGGAGGTAGGGCAGCACTTTCCTGAGACAAATGTCCTTGTTCTGACTGCTTACTCCACCTGCTGAATCAATGCTGCTGCCAGGGCTGGTGATCTGTCTTTCTTTCTCCCATTTAATTTGGTGCAGAAGCCCAAATGGTCGCTCAAACACTGCTCGCCACATAGGCATGGAGCCAAACAAAGACTGTTGGTGAGAAGTCATAGAGAGAAAAAACAGGCTGTGTCTGGAGAAGGGGTCGTAGAGATGGAGGCAGCCCATTTTTGGGACAAACATTCTTGTTCTATATCCTGGAGACAAGCACAACATAGTACAATGGAAATACAAGAATGAGGTGACAAAGTGGGAACGGGCTGTTGACCAAAGGTTGACCCAGCAGCAGTGGGCACTGGTTTGATCCAAGGCCCCATCCATGGAGAACTCGATGGGCAGAATACCGATATTAATACATATGAGAAATATTACAAATTTATAATCAAGTGATAAGATATTGGCAGAAATTCAGCTGAAAGTCATTTAGCACAGCTTTAGCCAGAGAATGGCTGATAGCAAACTTGTGAATCACCTATGCCCTACATRTCTGGATAGCAGCTGGGTCCTGCCTGTGCTGAGGGAGTGCATCTCATCTCCCTGTGCTCCTGTGTGCAGGACATGGACTGCAGAGCAGGTAATGAGGGGGAGGAGAAGGAAGAGGTGAGGTTGTGGGCTGTCTGAGGTGTTGCTATTTCCCTTCACAACTGTAGGCGAACTTTGGAGCCATGGTCTCCATCAGGGCCTTAGGCTGTTGCGTAGCCATGGATGACTCTGTCAGCTTCAAGGGAGTCAAAGCCTCTGCTTCCTCCACATTTTTCC